CTCTCTCTCTCTCTCTCTCTCTCTCTCTCTCTCTCTCTCTCTCTCTCTCTCTCTCTATTGCTGCTCCGTGCCTCTCCGCTCATCCGTTTAATCGAGAAAGTATTGCGCTTTTGGCGTCTCGACGATCCTTACTATTCCAAGCTGGGACATGCTCCTGTCTCTTGCGTCACTTCGACCCGTTTAGCCAGGTACTTCGATATAATCTAAACTATATAAGGGCGAAATTAGTTTCTCGAGATTGCAGTCCGCAGGCCGGCGACCACTACGATCTCAAATGAAAATCTACGCGCGAATAAAATTGGCGGAAATGCCACGCGCGTTTCGAGCGGCCGTTCAATTACATTTCTCCGCTAAATGACTCTTTGCGATGTGCTTAGAGGTTACGAGCGAACTGCGAGTTTGATATGTTGGCGAGTACGGTGAGATACTCCGCGACGTGGCAACTCGGGTGGCCGAGATCGAAGAAGACCGGCCGACCTTTTCCACGAATCGTTAAAGCTATAAGAAGAGGTGAATCGCTTTCTATTTTATCGGAAGTGTAAATGTCACTGTAACTTACCGCAGCCGATGCGATGCACGGCCAGGTGGCTGGCTAATGCGCTTTTACGAGACACGGTTTAGACGACGGAGTGTATCACGTCACCACGTACCGTCCTTACCGTCGTTATCGTAATCGCGCGTTGCATGATTTTATTTTACATTTTGTCGTACCGCGACAAAATGTTTTATTTAAACCCATCACGCTCACCTATTCGGTTAATACCTTGTCGTTAGCTCGCTCGTTACGTAAAATGAGATGAATGTGCAAAAATGGGCCGAGAGACTTTCCCCGTCTGCTCTGCTTTTTTCAACTTTTTTCAACTTGATTTATTGCACGTCACACGGAGAAAATGTTGCAGTAAAAATTAAAGCAATTTTGTAATCTTGGACCATGCAGAATTGTGACTGAAATTATGCATATTTATCTAAAAATGTTACACACGTTTAATCTTGTACTACAAATATTATTGTAATTACTTAAACGTTTTTTAGATCATCAGATTTACTGTCTCTATAATAGCAAAAATTAGCAGACTCTCTGATATATCGCAATCAGAATAGCAAAGGCCAATAACAAAAAACAATGCATGGGTGTTTTAGTGCAATAAAATTCCTTTATAGATCAATGAGACTTTTAATGAATTGTTAATATCAGGATCGTGACTACAGAAATTTATCTACAAAGGAATTTTATCTATTGCATTAAAACAGCCGTCCTCGCTATTCCAATTATTTCTACAGTAGTTTACGTTACAATTTCTGTATAGTTCAGCTTTACAAAAAACATTGGAGAAAGAAATGCAATTTTAACGTAATTTTTACCACAATATTATGTATATATTTTTCAGCTCAGGATTGTAGGTCTGCGAAGAGAACACGGAGACGCTGTTCTTGTGTTATTGTTCTGTGCGAAAACCGTGTACGCAAACATAGAAAATATGCGGAAATTATACAATATGCGTCGCGGATACTTTTTTCGTGTACAGCTTCTTTGCGATTTACATGTCTGCGCGACGCCGGACGACGATCAGTGGACGTGCGAATTTCACGAGTCGCGATTGCCGTGGCGAATTTAAATCGCACCGGGAACACGTCAGCAACATCTGGCGTCGCATCACCACGACACATTACACATAGACGCTTGGTGTTACGTTTTAACCGCGGACGACTCGCATCTCATGACTTGCTCTCGGCTTAGCAAAAGTAGACGTTACACGCGTCCGTTTGTTCATATTGCTTCCTCATCGAGCCGTGATAAATGGCGAAGTTTGGCGGATTCTCCGCGAAAGAGTCTCGTGAGAAATCTACCTGACGTATTTGGGTTGGAAGCCAACGCGACGCTGTTTGCGCGTTGATTCGCGTGTTTCCCTGATCTCTCGATTGACGCAATGCCGTAACTATTCCTTTTTCCGTGAATTGCGAACCGTATTCCATCAATTTCGAGCGTCGATCTCGTGCTTTGCAAAGAACAGCGCAGAAATTAGAGCGAGCAGACCGGACGATAACGCGAATTCTCTGCTCGGCTAGCGATTCTCTAGTCCCTTTATGTTACCTTTTCAAAGAGCAAACGCGCTTTATTTTCCGGCGGGAAACAATGCTGCAGTGCATTTCGCCCGCTGCTGTCGTTGTAGCAGCAGCAGCAGCTACATCCTTCCTGCGCGACAGCGTTGTTCTCGCGAGTTAACTGCCGAGGGAACAACTCCCTCACGAACGTCACATTCGTTCTCATCTCACACTTTCCCGTTCTCTGCCGACAGTCTCCACGAAGGCGCTGGCGGGTGCGAAGAGCCTCGGCGGATTCTTGTACAGCGCTGTGAACAAGGCCGGGAAGACCGTGGTGGAGGCCAGCGCGAAGATCAAGAAGACCGTCGAAGAGAACGTGAGTTTTTGCACTGTCACTCTTGTAATCCTATAAGCGTCGATCGATCCGTCTCTAATGACCCTTCACGGTGCACCGTGACGATTTAAATCCGCCGGGCTGTGGAGAGAGACAGATAGACATCGCCGCGGGATTTATTTCAACGTTTAATCGGCAGCATGTTAACTGCGAACGCATTCATCTATACCTCGTTAAAAAATAATAGCCCGGGGCAGCAACAATTGGCATTTTTCGGCGATATGACAAAGAGGAGAGCGGGGGTGACGGACACGCGTGTTGAATTCGCAACAGTCGCGAATCTGCGCGTTGTTCGTGAGTCATTATTTTCGACAAATCAATGCTCGTTTTGCGTTACGACCCCGCTGCGCACCACGCGGCTACGCCGAGCTCTTTGTACGCGTTTTGTGTATTACCGGGCGCAAGTAGGTCAGTAACAGTTTTAACATTCTCCCGTCGTAGGCGGAATAATATTTTCGCGAATATCAGTTCGAATAGTGCGCGTGCCTTTTGCGTGCCGTTCGCATTACCGTGATATTGGCACGCAAATGCGTATCAGACTTGAAACAGTAGGGGATACATCACGCGGAATCAGATTTATTCGAGAGCATTTCGCCGCGTGGGCGCGGAAAATCGCATTTGCGGGCATTTTCTTCTCCAGGACTTCTTACGGAAAGGCGAAGAGAGAGAGAGAGAGAGAGAGAGAGAGAGAGAGAAGGGGGGAGGCCGTGTCGGCGATGTTGGTGGTTTCTTTCTGTTTTGCCGGCGCCACTCTCTTTGTCGCTGTCGATATCGGCTCGTAGGATTTATGCCTCCATAATGGTACGGGCTGATGTATGTACGGCGTGTACATATCCGCTGTGCAACAGAAAACGGCATCCCCGCGAGAGAAAGAGGCAAGCCCAGGCGAGCGCGTAAGCCGCTGACACGGCACCTCCACTTGTGAATGTAGCAACGCGTTATCCGCTGCGCACAATTTCCCATGCAATTCGGAAATTAAACGGAACTCCTCATGTTCTCCGCAGTCTTGGTCGGCCCTGCACGCGAAGCTTCCATCTATCAGTGCAAAATTCAGCGATAATGCATATCGATTGTTTTTCTAAAGCACGGGCGCTCGTAAAAATCTCATGGAAAAGTCGATCAAGCGACGTGATTGTGTCTTTTTTTATTTATCTTTTGTTTCTAATTGTTTTCTTCGAACGAAGAGTGTGACATTCAATACGCTCGTGGCCATCTCTCCGATTGAGTCGAAGCGCCTACGTCTACTCTCTCAAAGTGAATCAGCAAAAATATTTTTGGTTGAATCCGCGAAAGAAGTATTTCACCGTGAGTATTCACTGATTTTCAGTAGAAACACTCCCACTTTACTTACATCTCGCTGATTTTGACCGGTGGCAGTAAGACTTCACTGCGAAGTCTGTAGCACACCGATTCGTTATACGCCGTGCCAAGTCTGTGTTTGCAAATTGCATCAGTAATGCGTCAATAATTCAACCAGGAATAGTCGCTATATAACAGGCAATTGATTTTTTTAGCGAAATTCCACTGATTGCAGCGCGATACTTATAAGTGAGCCACCAGTTGTAAGTGTAACACATTTCAGTGAAGAATAAACTGATTGTACTTTAGAGAGAAAGAGAGAATACATTCGTGAGGAATTGTGTCGTCGTCTATGTTCACCGAGACGCTTTCCGTCGCCGGCCATAGAACTCGCATCGATCAGGCAAGCTTGTCGCCGTCACTCGCATCGATACGTACATTTCGTGCGTATGTACCAAAAGCATGAAAGACCGATATCGACAAGCTCGCTGTTCCTCTGTTCGACGACGCGCAATCGTTGAGAACACACGGGATTTACATCGTCTCCCCCTCGATTTACGCGAGCCGCTTGCGTAATTAGAACACACGTACACACATACAAGAGGCGCGCCCGTCAGTGCATCATCCAGCCGCGAAACCACTTTCGCGTTTATATTCTAGCTGCTGAATGGAAATTGGAATTTTTGCTCATCCACTGCCGTCGGCTTTTGGACCGTGAACGTATCGATGGACGGACGATGTAAATTTGTGCAACGGCGATAGCTCAAAACTCGCTGCCTGAAAATGTGGGTCATTGAGACGAGGGTCGTTGCAATTCGCGCCCCGCGATTTTCGCGAGCGGTGTATTTTTTCCACAGCTTTCGGGAACCATGAGAGCTAGGGATTTTGGGAATTTTGAGAGCAGCAGATTAATAGCGATAGAAAACAAGCGACGGGTTTTCCTCGCTTTGCATTTTTCTGAGAAAAAATGGTTGGTATTTGTAACTATAATCACACAAAGAAATAATTGCTACGAATTACACGGAAAAAACAATTCTGTTGATGCAACCGAATTTTCGGTTGCTCAGGGATCAGACGAAAACTCGGCTACAGAAAAATTTCTTTATGGCTTCTGTATAGCCTATTGTTCTCAGTTGTCTCAACTGAGTTCTAATATCGTTGAATGTTCAGACGAATATTTTCGGTTGCGACAACAGAAATATTAGTTTTCATAACAGATATCGCTTTTGATTACCTAATTTTCAGTTGATTCTTATTTGTTTATACCAACTGAAATTTTTTTGCGTGTTTGTGATCAAGAGAAGCATTTTCTCGTTTAATTCTACTATAATGTCAGTGACAACAATCTTATATACGTTACTACTACTACTACCATTTTTTACAAAAAGTATGGCTAGGACCAGAAATAACTATAACTTCAGTTAGATCAATCATCTTTTTTCTCTTTCAGTGTTGGAGCACTCTACAACTTGTTTAGATTGTTAATCTATTATTACCACGCGCTATTAATTCTCACACCTAATAATTATCACAGAACAATGAATGGCTTCGATAAATAGAGAGATACGATGAACCGGCTATAATTAGCAATTTGTTGAGAACTGATCGCAATTAGATATGAAAGGGGGTAATATGTTTGCAATTTAATCCGTCACGCATAGAGATTCCTTTAGCGCCCTGTCCCACCGCTCGTTAAAGTGCACCACGCGGAAGTCTCGCGTCATTAGTGTATCGAAAATGTTCGCAACGGAAACGCGAACGACGGCCGGCCACCACCAAATTAACATCCTTGTCCGCGCGCGAACGTGCAGCGAACAAATTGGCTGCCATAAGCGACAAGTCGATACCACAACGAGAACTGCTGAAGACGCTCATATTTTTCTCGGCTTCCTCTCTCTTCCGTTCTCGTGCTTTCGCGGCGGTGATTTATAGTTTTCGTCGAGCACGTGCCCCGCAACGCACACATGTGCGCGACACGTAATTCCTCAGGAGACCGCGATGCACCGCGCGATGTATGCATCGCACGCACATTCGTCGCAACATCCGCATGTCCCGCGGTGATCCTCGATCATCATTGAGTCGCGCACGTCCGCGCGTCAGAGAGACGTCGCATAATTACGTTGACGCACGTCACCGCCGATCAGTCGGTTAACGCGGCAGCAGGAACAAAAGTGCAACGATAAAATTGCATCCCGAGATCGAACAGGTATTCGGAAAGAATTGCAATTTCGACGTTGCTTTGAAGAGCATAAAAATTACGAGAGAGACAGCCAGAGAGAGAGAGAGAGAAAGAGAAGAAAGAGAACATGGCGCGATTTCCCTTCATTCGAATTCCGCATTTTCCAACGCTTTTTCGATAGTAACGCGCACTGGAACGGAACAATCGGCATTAGTTGAAACGTTTAACGTTCACCGCTGTCGTGAGTGGCCCCGCATTATGCTGACGCTAACTCCATATAATTTCGACACTTACAGCCGCTTAATTTCGACGAAAATTTACATCGCGCGCTACTAATAACAGCAACGCAAAGCGGGCGCGCAAATTCGCGCATGCAAATTCGCCCGTTACCGCCGCGCTTCCCGCACACCGTCGGGCGCGTGTCGCCATCGTAACTGACGTTATATGGCTGAATGTTTGACGAATATAATCGGTGATATCATGCGACAAGCGTCAGCAAACAAACGCGAAACCTGGATCTGTCGTCACGGCGCGTCTGCGAGAATGCAGAATTATGACAGTGCAACGCGCCATTCGTGTTTCCGCGCGCGCATATAATACGCTTTTTCACTCCCTCGCGTGCCATTATTGATCGCAATTGACGCAATTGATGGGAGAACTCGTTTCGACAACAACGTTATTGTTCAGTCATCTTGTTTATATCGATGCCAATTGTATTTCGCACCGACTAACAATCAATGTTGTCGAACAACAACGCTTCGTATTTATCTTTTGTCTGTGTAAATTGTTTGTCGTAAAGCGATTCGAAAAATTTCGTCAAACCGAATCCCGCTCGTCAATTCGCATCGACACTCTTGGGACAGGTTTTCACAGCGCTCTCCATCTCTCTCGCATTCGCCAGCGGAATTTCATCAATTCCGAACTCTCATTCAATTGTATTTTGTCATCAATGTTCCGTTATATATCAAAGATTTTTTATATAATATTTTCATGTCCTCTGTTTTCATGCAATCTCATTTTATAAGATAAATAGTCATACTAAATGTAAATCAGCAAAAGCTTGTCGCGAAAAGCCGTTTGCGAGCCGATCTTACATCGGTCGGCTTTTGCAGCGAGCGATTCCTCGTCGCGCGAATGTGTAGAGCTTCGAGTCGATATCGTTATTAATATCTTTCGGAGAGCGAGAGAGAGAGAGAGAGAGAGAGAGGTGACGGCGCTCTCGACCCATTTTCATTTATTAGACGTTAAAGCGAGCCGACTGCCGCTGCTCCTTTGTGTGTTCCCGTGGGTCTCCTTTCATTTCGTTTTATGAAATCGCGGGTGTGCCTGACACTCAGTGCGTAATTCCATCCGAGCTTATTGCTTGTTATACGACGGATAATGGCCAACGCGGGGAAGTTCATATGTCGCCGGAGACAGATACGATCGCGTCGACATGTGTCAAGATTCTCCATGCACATGCCCGCCATGTGTCGTCCGATCGCGTGTCACCGTCGAATCGTCT